GCTGGTATCTCTGCCGCAGCCACAGCAGCATCCCAAGGGGAAGATTAGCATCCTAATGCTAAGGGCTGTGTGTGCTTTATAGGAAGGCTCACCAAGCCCCCACAGAGCTGCCCTGGGTATTCAGTAACAACATGAGGCTATTCCCAGAGGCATATGCCCACCAAAGTGCCCTGTAAGCTGTGCACTTGGGCAGCCACTCAGGAGAAATCTCTGCCGCAGCCACAGCAGCATCCCAAGGGGAAGATTAGCATCCTAATGCTAAGGGCTGTGTGTGCTTTATAGGAAGGCTCACCAAGCCCCCACAGAGCTGCCCTGGGTATTCAGTAACAACATGAGGCTATTCCCAGAGGCATATGCCCACCAAAGTGCCCTGTAAGCTGTGCACTTGGGCAGCCACTCAGGAGAAATTCAGGTGCCACCCAGATGATTAGCAGTGTGCCCACAGCCCAGAGCATATGTTTGTACTGGTGGTGCACATCTGCTCATGCTTCAGGGCACATAAAAAATTGATTCCGCACATGGATGGAAAAAATTAGAGGGAACATTGATCAGCACCGAGGTCCGAGCATCAGAATTAGCTCAGCCCAGGGGTGTGAGGTTGGAATGTTAAATATCGGTTAATTGAATCTCCCCGCAGGAGAGAGCCAGATGCTCCCCAGCTGATTAGCCGAGCACCCACAGCCGGCAGCAGGTGTTTCTACTGGTGGCGCACAGGCGCACATGCCTCAGTGCACAGAACAAAATTTATTCTGCACGTGGATGGACAAATTAGCGAGAACCTTGCGGCAAGGAGGGAAATGGAGCCACAAGTCAGTGCTAGGGGAAGGATTCAGGGAGGTGCAGTACCTGGGATCTGAGCTCCGCAATGGTGCTGAAGTAGCTACTGAGGTCTGGGCGCCCAGCCAGCGCCCTCTTGGCATAGACATCCCGGATCTGCTGCTCCAGCTGCTCGTTGGCTCCCTCTAGAGACCGCACCTGGCAGGGGGTGAAGGCCCAAGAGGATGGTGGCATGAAAGGCTCCGCGCCTGTCAGGACTAGCTTTCCCTGCGCTGGGCTCTTGTCGGGGACGGGCACTGATCATCCACAACCGGGGGGCGTGGCCCTGGGGCAGCTGGGCTGCAAATGCTTCGCTTGCGGCAGGTTTGTTTGTACACATGGGGGGGCTGGGTTTCAAAGCGGCCTCCGGCCAGCCTCTGAGAACGCTCTAGGAGCCCAGATACCCTGGTGACGGGCAGCCCAGCAAGAGAGATTTCTGCACCCGCTGGCTTTGGCCA